AGTCTCCATCCACGCTGTTGCAAAGTGTAGGAATTCCTTCTTTCTTTCTTCTGCATAGTATCATATTGTGTAAATGTACCACCATTTTTTTAAAATCCATTCATTTACTGATGGGCATTTAGGCAGTTTCCAACACTTGGCTATTGTATATTGCACTGCTATATGAACATAAAGATGCATATGTTCTTTTGAATTGATGTTTCAGAATTCTTAGAGTATACTCCCAGCAATGGAATTGCTGGGTGAAGAGATATTTCAATTTTATATTTTTAAAGAAATTCCATATTGTTTTCCACAGTGGCTGCACCAGTCTGTAGTCCCAACAACAGTGCACCAGGGTTCCCTTTTTCCCACATCTTTGCCAGTGCTTGTTTTTTAATTTACTAATGATAGCCATTTTGATGAGTTTGGGGTGATATCTCATTGTGGTTTTAATTTGCATCTCTCTGATGGCTAGTGATGTTGAGCATTTTTCATATGTATAAGGGCCATCTGTATGTCCTCTTTGGAGAAGTATCTATTCAGGTCCTTTGCCCATTTTTTAAATTGGATTGTTTGTCTTCCTGGTGTTGAGTTATTTGAGCTCTTTGATCTTTGAAGATAAAACCCTCATCTGAGGAATATATGGCAAATATATTTTCTGATACAGTTGGTTGTCTTCTCATTTTGATCTTGGTTTCTTTAGCTATGCAGAAGCTCTTTAATTTGATGTAGCCCCATTTGTTTATTTTTCCCTTTATTTCCCTTGCCTTAGGAGATATATCAGCCAAAATATTGCTACATGGGATATCTGAAATTTTACTGCCTATGTTTTCCAACTAGGACTTTTATGGTATCATGACTTATATTTAAGTCTTTTAACCATTTTGAGTTTATACTGGTGTATGGTATAAGTTGATTATTTAGTTTCATTTTTTTCTGCATGTACCAGTCCAGTTCTCCCAACTCCATTTATTGAAGAGGCTATTATTACTCTATGGTGTACTCACACCCCTTTGTCAAATATTAATTAGCCATAGAGACATGGGTTTATTTCTGGGCTCTCTATTCTGTTCCATTGATCTATGTGTCTCTTCTTATGTTAGTACCAGGCTGTTCTGGTCATAGTAGCCTTGTAGTATAGTTTGTATCAGGTATTATGGTCTCTCCATCTTTTTTTTTTTTTATTTCTCAATATTGCTGTGGCTATTTGGGGTCTTTTTTGGTTCCATATAAATTTTTGAAGTATTTGTTCTAGATCTGTTAAATGTGCCATTTGTATTTTAATTTTAATGGGCATTGCATTGAATCTGTAGATTGCTTTGGGTAGTATGGGCATTTTAATGATGTTGATTCTTCCAATCCATGAACACAGAATATAATTCCATTTATTTGTATATTCCTCAATTTCTTTCTTCAGTGTTCTATAGTCTTCTGAGTTGAGGGCTTTTACATTCTTGGTTAAATTTATTTCTAGGTACTTTATATTTTTGTTGCTATAGTACATGGGATTCTTTCTTAGTTTTTTTCTGATAGTTCATTGTTGGTGTACAAAAATGCCATTGATTTCTGAATATTGACTTTGTATCCCACTACTTTTCCAAATTCACTTATTATGTGGATTAATTTTTTGGTGGACACTAAAGGGTTTTCTATATATGCCACAATATTGTCTGCTAATAATGACAGTTTTATTTCCTCATTTTTTATTTAGATGCCTTTTATTTCTTCTTGTTGTATGATCACTGTGGCTAGGATCTCCAGTACTATGTTGAAAAAAAGTGGTGCAAGCAGATACCCCTGTCTTGTTTCTGATCTTAAGGGAAACACTTTCAGTTTTCGCCTATTGAGTATGATGTTGGCAGATTTTTCATGTATGACCTTTACTATATTGAGGTATGCTCCCTCTATTCACACTTTACTGAATGTTTTTATCATAAATAGGTGCTGGGTTGTACAAAATGTTTTTTCTGCATCTATTGGTATGACCATGTGATTTTGTCTTTTATTTTATTTATGTGATGTATTTTATTTACTAATTTGTAAATACTATACCATCTCTTCACCCCTGGAATAAATCCCACTTGATCATGGTATATGATCTTTGTAATGTATTGTTGGATCTGGTTTGTTAGTATATTGTTGAGGATTTTAGCATCTATGTTCATCAGAGATATTGACCTATAATTTTATTTCTTTTTTGTGTCTTTACCTGGACTGGTATCAAAAAAGAGTTTGGGAGTCTTCCCTATTCTTGAATTTTTTGGTACTTTTGAGGACAGGTGTAAGTTCTTTGAATGTTTGGTAACATTCATTTGTGAAGCTATCTGGTCCAGGGCTCTTTTGTGCCAGTAGTTTTTTGATTACTGGTTCAGTTTTGCTATTTTAGTCTCTTCACATTTTTGGCTTATTCCTGATTGGATTTTGGAAGACTGTATGTTTCTAGAGATGTATCCACTTCACCCAGGTCATCCAAAATCTTAGCATATAGTTGTTTGTAGTAATTTCTTACACTCCTTTGTATTTCTGTAGTATCAGTTGTTATCTCTCCTCTTTTATTTTTGATTTTAGTTATTTGGGTTGTCTCTCTGTCTCTCTCTACCTCTATCTTTTTTTATGAATCTGGTCAACAATTTGTCAGTTTTGTTTATCTTTTCAAAGAACCATCTCCTAGATTCATTGCTTCTTTGAATTGTTCTTTTTACTCTCTATGTCATTTGATTCTGCCAAATCTTGATTATTTCCTCCCTCCTACTTGTTCTGGTCTTTATTTGCTCATGTTATTCTAGTTCTTATAGATGTAGAGTTAGATTGTTTATTTTAGATTTTTCTATCATCTTTAGGTAAGCCTGTATTACTATGAACTTCACTCTCAGGACTGCCTTCACAGTGTCCCATAGGTTTTGGGTTGTTGTGTGTTCATTTACATTTGTTTCCAGATACTTCTTGATTTCTTCCTTGATATCACTGTTAACCCATTCATTATTTAATAATGTGTTATTCAATCTCTATGTATTTGAATATGTTTGAGATTTTTTTATGAGGTTGGTTTCTAGTTCCTAGCCATTGTGATCTGAGAATATGCTTGATATGATTTCATTTTTCCTAAATTTTTATGACTTATTTTTTACCCTAGATGTATTCTATCTTTGAGGATAATTAATGTGCATTAGAGAAAAATGCATAGTTTTCCTTTTGGGTGTGAAATGTTCTCTAAATACCAATTAAGCCATTTGATCTAGAAGGTTGTTAAATGCTGCAATATTTTTGTTAATTTTCTGTTTGGATTATCTATCCATTGTTGACAGTGAGGTGTTAAAATCTCCTGCAATGACTGTATTGTTGCCTATCTTTTTGTTAAAGTACTCTAATATTTTCTTTATATATTAAGGTGCACCTATATTGGGGGCATATATGTTTACAAGAGTTATATCCTCTTGTTGGACTACTCCCTGAAGAATCGTGTAGCAACCTTCATTGTCTCTTGTTGTTTTGGTTTTGAAGTCTATTTTATATGATGTAAATGCTACCCAGTTTTTTATGCCCTTTTGCATGGAATATTTTTTTCATCTCTTTTAATTTTAGACAGTTCTGACATGGGTTATGTTTTCTTAACCATTCAGCTACCTCACATCTTTTGATTAAAGCATTTACTCCATTTATGTTCAAAGTTGTTATTATGTTTTTGACTTGCATTTATGTTTATTAAAAACTGACATAAACAAACAAAACCCTTGCAAATAATATGGTAATGCACACATCACTTTGAAACAGTAATCTTGAGAGGCATTATCACTATGAAATCCTCTTCCTCCGCCCCAGCCATATCCTCTTCCTCTTCCTGCAACAGCTTCTTCTTTGTTAGATTTCACCTTTGGTTCAAATCCACAAGTAGTATGTATATCCAGAGGTAAACTGTCTAGCAGAATAAAATATTGAATGTTATTTCATCAAATACTCAGTGTTTCCAGCTGTATGGGTTCATGGTTCCTCAGGGGCATTTTCACAGCTATTAATGAGTATGCAGGCTGACATATACCTGTGATTGTTCCATGGACCTGTCTTCCATTCTTTAATTGGATGGTTCAGTTTCATGATTCAATTTCATCAAAAACCTCATGAGCTTTATCCTAATGGAGTCATATTGTTTTTAGTCCAAGAGTGCACAAAAAACCAATAGTGGAGGGCTCACAGGCTGGAGTATGAATGGCCAGAAATGCCTACTCCCTAAAGTTATTATTGATAAGTACTTATTCATTGATATTTTTTCCTTTATACTTGTGTTCCTCTCTCTCTCTCATGGTTTCTACTTCCTCTAAATCAGTCCCTTTACCATCTCTTTCAATGCTGGCTTGGTGGATATGTACTGTTTGAACCTTCTTTTATTTGTGAAGCTCTTTATTTTACCTTCTGTTTTAAATGAGAGCCTTGCTGGATAGAGTAGTCTTGGTCACCAACACTTGCCTTTCATTACTTGGAATATTTCTCGCCAGTTCCTTCTGGCTTGTAGTGTTTCTGTTGAGAATCATCTGCTAGCCTTATGGGAACTCCCTTGTACATTACTTCCTGTTTCTCCCTTGCTTCCTTTAAGATTCTCTCTTTATCTTTAAGTTTTGCCATTTGGGGGGAAGAGTTTTTAGGAACATGTATAAAGGACACATGGACAAAAATCAAAGGAGGGTAGGATCAAGGATGGGAGGTGGGGATGGCTGGGGTGGGGGAAGGTGGAGGGGTGAAATGGAGACAATTTTAGTTGAACAACTTAAAAAAAAGAAAAATAAATAAAATTTGCCATTTTTATTGTAATGTATCTTGGAGTAGGTCTCCTTGGGTTCATCTCGATCGGGGCCCTCTGTGCTTCCTGTACTTGTGTTACTTTTTCCATAACGAAGTTGGGAAGTTTTCTGTTTTTATTTTTTAAAGGGTTTTCTATCCCTTGCTCCTTTTCTTTTCCTTCTGCTATTCCTACAATTCAAATGTTGTTACATTTCATGTTGTTCCGAAGCTCCCTTAAACTATTCTTATTCCTTTTGAGTCTTTTTTTTTCCAAGTCAACCTTGCATAAGGGTCATGCTAGTCTTTTCTGTATTATTCCAATTTTAGTATATGTGCTGCCAAAGTGAGCACTACTTCTATTCTTTGAAGCCTTTTTCTGCTCAATTTTATATCTCAGAAGTGATTCACTTGTGTGTCACTTGCCATGAGCATTTCTGGTAGCTCTAACCAAGTTCAATCATGTTTCTTCCATTCCAGAAAGCATATTAGAATGAGAACAATAAAGTTTAACATTTTAATATCTATAAGCTCAGAACTATTTTTATCAATAGTTTTTTCTTTTTTTTTCCTGACAGTAACAAATTCCTTGTGACTCACCTCAGAGCCTCTAAGGTCCTGTATTCGAAAACTGGTGTTTGAATACTACAAATCTGAGAGCTTGAGTTCAACCCCAGTGGGAATCACTGGACTTTTACAATTGTGTGACTTCATCTCCACATAACTACTGCCCCCAAATAGGGGCTACTTGACAATATTCCTGTAAGCTCTGACTAAAATTAGAGATCTGTCTTGAAGTCTGTTTCTGTATCTAAACCACAAATGGGTCCTGCTGAAACTTTACTTGCACAACAGCTGGTATTGGCTGCTCCTATGCCTGCCATTCTGGGCTTTGCTTGCTCTGCCCCTAGATTGCGCATAACTAGGTCTTTCTTTCTAACCTTTTGAAACACACTTTTTATTTTGGACATAGTCTCTATTGGCTGTCTCATTTCAGAAATGCCAAATCATTTTATTCTCTATCAGATGTATCTACTATGCTTGAATTTCTGAACTCTCAATTCCTCCCTCTCTCTCTCATTATCTCCCTGTCTTGTCAATTGCGATGTGGTATATAAGACATGATTGTATTTTCTACCCTTATGTTGGCCTCTTATTTTTCAAATTTTAGAAAAAAGCAGGCTAAAATTTATGTTCAGTAACTAAAATATTATTATGATGATCTTTGCATCTGTGTCAACATTTTTGGCAGTGTTATATCTGAATATTTTGTTCATGTGTGTGTCAGAATTTTTGGCTGTAATATATTTGAATATTTTCATCATATAAGGTCATAATTTTTAGAGGAAAAAGGTACATCTCTTTACTATATTTTCTTCTACTGGTAAGAAAGATAGAACAAATATTGTTTTGTAAAATTATATTCCAGAACACTAATTAAAGATTTATTTCATGGACAAATAAACCACATGTCCCTGCATTCTTTATGGAGATGCTTCACATTTTCCAATTATTTCTTTTACACATTCATTAATAACATGGAACAGTGCAGTTTGCATTAAGCATCTACATCAATATGAAATATCCAGCTTCCACAGTATTGAGTCAACATTTTGAATACAATTATGAGTACTAACTGCACCACTGCAAAAGCTCGGGTATCATGAGTATGTTTCTAAGTGTACGTATGTGTGTGCATATATATACATATGCGTGCCTGTGTCCTGAGCAGCTATATACTTTTATCTTTATTATCATATCTATTACTAAAAATTGAAAAGTTATTGCTCAAAAAATATTAATTAATTTTGAAAAAACATTGGTTCTTTTCTATGTAATACTGTGGTGATAATTTATGATGAATTTTATTCACAAATCTTGGTTTTACTGATAATTCCACATGACTTAAAATTATTTTTAGTAACATCAAAAATAACATGTTTTTCACATGACTCCACTTTAAGAAGACAAGCAACCCAATTAAAAAATGGGCAAAGGACTTAAACAGATACTTCTCCAAAGAGAATATGCAGAGGATCCAGAGACACATGAAAAGATGCTCAATATTGCTAGCTATCAGAGAGATGCAAATTAAAACTGCAATGAGATACCACTTTACACCGGTCAGAATGGCCATCATAAACAAAGCAACAAACAACAAGTGTTGGAGAGGTTGTAGAGAAAAGGGAATCCTACTACACTGTTGGTGGGAATGCAGACTGGTGCAGCCATTGTGGAAAACATTATGGAATTTCCTTAGGAATCTAAAAAGCAGAACTGCCTTTTTACCTGGCAGTTACACTGCTAGGATTATATTCTAAGAACCCTGAAACACCAATCCAAAAGAACCTATGCACCCCAATGTTCATAGAAGGACAATTCACAATAGCCAAGTGCTGGAAGCAACCTAAGTTCCAATCAGTAAATGAATAGATCAAAAAACTATTGTGCATTTACACAATGGAATACTACACAGCAGAAAGAAAAAAGGAGCCCTACCCTTTGTGACAGCATGAATGGAACTGGAAGAGCATGATGATAAGTGAAATAAGCCAGGTGGTAAAAGACAAATACCATATTATCTAACCTTTAAGTGGAACCTAATCAACAAAACGAACAAGCAAGCAAAATATAACCAGAGACATTGAAATTAAGAACAAACAAACAGTAACCAGAGGGGAGATAGGAGGAGATAATAGGAGGGAAAGGGTGAAGGGTTTTCAGGAAAAACGAAAAAGGACACATGGACGAAACCAAGGGGAGGTGGAATCAGGAGAGGGAGATGGGGATGGCCAGGATCAGGGAGAGAGGTGAGGAGAAAAGGCAGAAAACTAGTTGAACAACAATAAAATTAAAAAAAAGAATAACATGTTTTCTTTTCTGTTAAGTTTTTATTTTATAAAATGTGCCTATATTTTTAGGTTGATAAAGATGTTTCTAAAAATTATATTTTAGGCTTTTATTTTAGATGGGACTCTAAATTAAAAAATAAAGAATTATAGATTCAAATATATTTCTAGATAAAGCAAATAGACAAAATGATTCTGTTAAAATTTCAGATTCTCTGTTATTTGAGTATAGTAGCAGTTCATTGAGATCCCAACCCCCAATCATTTCTCAACAATTTTCTATAAAGTAAACATATTTACAAATGTAATTTCTTAAAAACATTACATGTTGGCCACAGCCTCCCATAGAAATTTAACCATAGAACTACAGAAAACTGTCAGAGTACTGATATTTTAGCAAGGTTATGTTATAAAATATCATTCCCAATAGTTTCCAGTAAAAACACAGAATCTGATTAAGGATGATACTTTTTATTTATGATGTGAGATAATACCTATAACAATCATATAATGTATAGCCTGCATAATTATGTAGAGTACATAATACTTGACAATGATAATAAACAACTATGTTCCTTGTTTATGTATTTACTATACCATGCTTTTCTATTATTTTAGAGTGTACTTCTTATAATATAAAAAGAAGATTTGCTATAAAATGGTGTACTTGTTATGCTGGTAGTCATACATATCATGTTTACCAAGCCTTTAACTGCATCATTTTCTCTTGTGTTTGACTTAATCTTGTGTTGTTTTGCACAGTAACATGCTATGCAGGCTTATAGCCTAGGAGCAATAGGCTATATCATAAGCCTAAGTGTATAGCAGAGTATACCATTGAAATTTATGTAGGTGTACTCTCTGACATTTACATAATGACAAAATCCATTAAGGACACATTTCTCAAAACATATCTTTGTCATTAAGCAGCACATGACTGCATTACCCTCTGTCCTGGTGGACACTCATCTTACTGACCCAAACATCAAACCCCTATTCGGAGGTTTCTGTCTGAACGTTACTTGTAGAGTAGCTGATGGGTGATGAGCCTATAAAATACACATAAGGGAATATTTGACAGTCATTCTAATGTGCTTTTGCTGTCAGAAGCAGTGGGGACCCGATAGCTCTACTAGACTATCCAATAATCTTTTAAAAATGTTTTAACATATGACAAATTGTATTTCAATATATTGCAACTTTTGGCATGGGCTTTCTTGTTATGAAAAGTACCACCAAAAGCATGTTTTTAAAAACCGGGGATTATCTAATCTACTTCTCTACTCCAATTTGTTTCAAACTATTATCTTATTCCTACACCTATCATTTATTCTTTATTTTCTACAAACTTTAGATAAAAAAAATAGTTCAACAGCAGTCTCATTACTTTTATCTAGCTTAGGCAAAAAGTACAGCACAGTTCTATTATTTTTTATGTCTTCTTCTTAAAATAGAATTCAATATACTTTTTTCAATTTTTCATTCATTGTGTTAAAGAAAATAGCACATATGTACAGCAAACAGTATATATTATATGTGTATATGTGTATACATGCATTCATGCATATATTATGTATGATATATTTGTATATATGTAATATATAATAAAATATGGGTTTTTAAAATTCTTAAAAATATTTCAGGTGACTAAAACCTGAAGATTTGATGTCAAAATATTATTCTTTGTACCATATAAAGTATCTACAAAAGATTAACATGCTTGTGTGAGTGTGAATGTGCTCATATTTCCAAAGTATTTTAGAAGTCAAAATTTTCATTAGAAAATATTCCTAAGGGTATATAGCAATAATTAAGCTTTTGAAAAAAGTGACCATTGTACAACTATTGTTAGCAAACCAGTTTGAAAAAATTTCTTGGGAAAACGACAAAACCTTACTTTCACCAATGAGTGTTAGGCGAAGCAGATAGCGACTTAGAAGCTTTGTCAATAGATAAGGAAGATGGTAGCAAAAGTGGTAAATATTTCAAAGGAAGAGAGTAGAGCATGATGAAATGTTTCACATGGACATTAGGATATTATAAATTTTAAAATAGAAATTGCCATTTTTGGTCATGAAGGAATAACAAACATACTGGACTAACTCACTGAAAAAAGTTTAAAAGTGATTGAATGAGATATAAGAAATGACTCTTTAAATGCTGTATATCAAGACTGTAACCATTGAGAGGTAAGAGTAATGAATAGCCTAGATCAAAGCAGAATTAAATGACATAGAGACTAAAAGAACAATTCAGAGGATTAATAAATCCAGAAGCTGGTTCTTGAAAAGATAAAGAAAATCAAGAAGGCTTATAAGCAGAATCATCAAGAAAAAAAGAGAGAGGACCCAAATAAACACCATCAGAAATGAAAGAGGAGAGATTACAACTGATACTACAGAAATATAAAGGATTGTAAGAAATTACTAGGAAGAACTATATGCCAAGAAATTTGAAAACCTGAGTGAAATGGACAAATTTCTAGAAAAATATAGTCTCCCAAAA